ACAGCAAAAAAAAAAACACTCTTACCTCCAGAAATGTCGTCGCTAAGTTACAATATTTTCGCCCTCCCTAGCGGAGTTTGCCTTGCTCGCGCATGAAGTGGTTGGACTGAACGAGTTGGGTGTTTATTTGTGGCAGGTGTCAGCGGCAGGGCAGGTTGCCTCGGCGCTCGTTGTGCTGTTGTAGCCTTTAAGTTTGCCGTTGTTGTAGAGATCCGACCTGAACGACAACTTGGTTTTGTTACATTATCCTTTTCTAGTGTCCATGGCTTCGTCCGTCTTGCTACTGTGTCGGGAAATTGCGATGTGGCTTGCACTTTGAAAATAATTCTGAGGGGCTGTTTGCGGCTTCCCCTCCCCCTCTGGAAGCGGCCTGGTTCTGTTACGTATTGTTATGTGAATGAGAAGGCCGATCGTATGTGATGTTACTTACGTAATTACATGCCATAGTCTTAGCCTGGAAAGCGCCAGTGGGTTCGGATTTATGGTTCTGGTTTTGGCTAACCGACTGAGCCCGAGAGTTAAAGCCAACGCTGCCGGTTGGTGTTTTTTCGGTGCAGATTTGACCCTAAGCCCTCAACCGAACCCGAAACTCCCTACGCCTGCATTGTGCGGGTGCGAGTCGAAACTTCCCAAAGCCCTAAGCCGTATCTTCCTTTTCCTGTATCTTCAGGAGGAGAAGAAGAAGGCTGAAGCCGACCTGCGCCGAAAGGCCGTGTAGCTTAGAGTACTCGCCATGGCAACAGTTCAGGGTTCAGGGCTCGTAGTTTGGGGATTAGGCGTCAGGGTTGAGAGTTTAGGGCCGCAACAGTCAAGAGGACAGACGAGGTCGCTGCGACTTTCTCCCGTGGTACGGTAGAGAGGAGGGTTTTGGTGCAGTTTTGGTTCAGATGACCTTTGTCCATGCATGGCAGCGAGGCAGAGGCTGAGAGGATGAAGAAAGAAATTGAAGCCAAGCATCAGAAGGTTCTGCCGATTCCGGTGTGGACCTCACGAGTCGGAAATGGGACTCTGCAAACCTGTCCTCTGTTTACGAAAGCGGCCACATGCTGCTGGCATGACCATGGCCAATGCGCAGCCGCAAGCAGGGTCTGCTGCGAAATGTCTCTGGTCAGGAGCCCTCTGATGAGATTCCGATGCCTTGCTTTGATGTCTTCAAGGGTGGCAATCGAATTGGACGCTGAGCTGTTTGTGAGTTTGGATGGGTCGCATGCTCGCCTGTCGGCAGCGCAGTGAGTTTAGTGCCACGAGCGGTTGCGGCCAAACAAAGGACGATTTCTCCTCAAACCCCAGCAGAAGTCCTGGCTGGTGGGTCGTGCTCCAGTGGGGGTCGATTTCCGTCTCGGCCAGAACCTCAGACGGCCTCAGCCGGAACCCGAAGCATTCAAGAGAAGTGACGGCGAACTCTTCCGCAGCGGCTGTGCTGCTGTACTGGCTGAGGCCACGAGACCATCTCGCGGAAGCATGCCCAGGTGCGGCCGGATGTCCTACCACCACACCAACTTGTGGCGCACGATGGTTCACAGTTCCTTTGTACCTGAGACAGGAGGGCCATTCTCGTAAGGCTGTACTAAGGTACTATATATGTATACACATATATACATACACAATGTATCAGTACATGAACAAACAGACACACACACACACATATATATATATATACATATATATACACACACACATATATATATATACATACATACATACAGATCAATATCAAAAATGTCATATGCATGCATGGATGTCTGTCTGTTTGTCTGTCTGTCTGTCTGTCTATCTGTCGGTCTGTCGGTCTGTCTGCCTGTCGGTCTGTCCGTCTGTCGGTCTGTCTGTCTGTCTGTCTGTCCGTCTGTCTGTCGGTCTGCCTGCCTGTCTGTCTGTCTCTCGGTAGGTATGTATGTATGTATGTAAGTATGTATGCCTGTATGTCTGTATGTCTGCACGTATGTAACACGTATGTGTGTTTTTTTTGCAGTATACACGTATGCATATATATCTATTGGTATTGAACGATTGTGAGCTGCGCCAGGTTGGTGACAAGAATCTTATCAGTATATGTAAATACACAAGTATGTGTGTGTATATATACATATATGTATATGTATATGTATATGTATATGTATATGGGTATGTATATGTATATGTACGTACATATATATATATATACATATATATATATGTTTGTGTGTGTGTGCGTGTGTATGACTCGCTTGCTGCCATGGTCGGCAGGTGAATCGACAGGGCTGCTTCACGTTTCTGCAAGACCTCGGTTCAGCGCATGGTACTTCTCTCAACGGGCAGAAGCGTCTTGGCCAAGTTTCTTAGCAGGTTGCCGCGGGTGTCGCCCGGCTTTCAATGGCTGCGTCAGTCATCGCATGCTATTGCAACTTTGTGTCGGTGAAGCGGGCTTCTGGAAGCACATGCATCATGGTGCAAAAGAGGCTGGCAAAGAACACGTCGGTGCCCCGGAAGACTTGAGTCGCATGCAGACGGGGGAAACTGTATGGGCTTGTCGAAGTCTGCCGCCGAGTTGGATCATGGTTTAACCACAGCAACAGCCACCTTTTGTTTATCTACTGCGGCTTCGGTTCAAGCTGATACCCATCGCCGGGAGATCGGAGCCTTTGCCGCCTGGCACATTTCTCCTTTTCTGGACTTCTAGAGCTTCGGATCCAAGTTGAATCTGCCGTGGGCCAGGACCAGCGCAATGCCAGCTGGCATAAAGAACGCTTTCGCCGCGCTCGGCAGTCCGGAGCTCACAGACGGTCTAAGGGGAGCTTTCCTTCGAGCATTCCGCAGTATGCTGTTCTGAGATTCCGATTCGGAAGAGGCTGGGCTTTGCCACAAGAGTTGAATGTTTGCAACTGAGAAAGGACCGTCCTGTGTTTGTAGGAAGAGGCGCCAGAGAAGCCGGCGGTTGAGGAGGCATACGAAGCGGCGCCCGAAGAAGTGGAGCCGGACCGGACACGGGTCAGCCGAGTGTCGTGCTGTGCTTGATTGCTATTCAACTTATCCAGGAGCAGAAGAAGAAGGGCAAAAAGAAGGGGAAGGCAGGAAACCCGGTTGCTGGCTTGATAAGGTTCTGCGAACTGGCATACTGCGTCGACCTCGTTGTGTCATTCGTTGGACGCCGGCTTTGTGGAGCTCTTCATGCCAAGGCTGAGACCGCTGCCGCCGCTGCCCCTGCTCCGGTGCCTTCTGCACCCGCAGAAGTGCCAGCGGCCGCAGCCCCTTTTGTTGCGGGAGACCTCTGCTGCTTTTAAGTCACAGCGTGATTGACCAAGAAGGCTAAGACAGCACCCAAAGCAGTGGCGACACAGAAGGACAGAATGTCTGAGTCGTCTGAATCCTTGTTGGTGCTGCGGGGCTGCAAGCCACGAGTCCTGCATCCCTTTACGACTTTCCTACTGTGTGACGAGGAGCCACAGGTGGCACAGAGAAAAGACAATAAAGAGAAAAGCGACAAGAAGGACAAGCCGGCAGTCGCCTCGAACCTCGCCGCCAGAGAATACATCTTTCGTCTTGGAGTGCAGTATCCCTGCAGTACGACCTAGTCAGCGAAGCGGGTGGGAAAAAGATACACTAGTGCACCCGGCACGTGCTGTAAGACGGAGATGTGCAGGCACCACTCGCATTGGCATCTTCTGAACCCGATCGTAAGGAATGCTGTAGTAGCAGTAGTATTAGTAGTAGTAGTAGTAGTAGCAGTAGTAGTAGCAGTAGTAGTAGTAGTAGAAGTAGTAGTAGTAGTAGTAGTAGTAGTAGTAGTAGTAGTACTAGTAGTAGTAGCAGCAGTAGGTTATGTAGCTGTAGTGGTAGTGGTAGTGGTAGTGGTGGTAGTAGTAGTAGTAGCAGCAGCAGCAGCAGCAGAAGTAGTAGTAGTAGTCGTAGTCGTAGTCGTAGCAGTAGCAGTAGTAGTGGCAGCAGCAGCAGCAGCAGCTTCCGTCGTAGTCGTAGCAGCAGACGTAGTAGTAGCAGCAGCAGCAGCTTCCGTCGTCGTCGTAGCAGTAGCAGTAGCAGTAGCAGTCGCAGTCGCAGTCGCAGTAGCAGTAGCAGCAGCAGCAGGAGGAGGAGGAGTAGTAGTAGTAGTAGTACTAAACTAGTAAGTAGTGGTACTAGTACTAGTAACTAGTAGTAGTATCATACGAAGTCTAGACAAGACGAGTGCTGCTTGGAAATCTGGTGGCAGTATGTATGAGTTTTTCAGTTCATGCACACCCAACCTCAGGAAAAACAAGTTCTCTGCCCTCTTGGGAAGCGACGAGGAGGAGGACAGTGATGATGAGTAGAGTTGTTTCAGTTTTGAGCTGCTTGGCAAGCCAGAAGCAGATATGTGCATTCCTGAATCTAATCGAAAGCAGCATGGTCCCAGCATGAGCAAGTCATTCCCAAGGTCTCCAGGCTTCCCGAACGTGCAGGACGCAGCCGCCGCTCATGCTAACTAGGCAATGCGGCAAGACCTGTAACGCACCACCAGCCGATAGACTGACTAGACAGCTGCGCGACAAGGCCAGGAAAACGAGCGCGCAAGAGACCACGATAGGTACCCCATCTGCCTTGCCGGCCCCGTTGTTCACACTGCCTGTAGTTCTCCTGGACCATGGCCCAGCTCACGCAGACTCAACCGTTCGTTCTCGCAACTTTCTGCCTTTGAAGCCGTGGAGCCTTGAACAAGTGCCACCGGTCCGAGAGATGTACCCATCAAAGTGCAGCGGTGGAGGCCAGCATCCGACCTCGAAAGTCCTAGCTGACTGAGCCATGGCTGTGGCAGGTTTCGGTAGGACATGTTGCAATTTAAGAGAGCAGGACGTTGCACTTTTGGACGATATCGGACTAATGCCACTGTGCGTACTGGTCAGAATGCACGAAAGAGCCGGCAAGGTGCTGCCGCCCGTGTTTGCAGGGGCAGAGCCAGGTGATGAGCTTGCCATGTGTGTCTCTCAGAACTTGGCCCTCGACAGCTTTCAAGCTTGCCTGTCCAAATGCTTTTCAATTGAGGCTCTGGGTGCAGCGCTGAGTCTATTGAGTCTGCTTGTGATTCCATTTCGGGGTCGAAAGCCAGCAGCGACTTGCGCGCAGGTCGTAGGCGCCGTCGTCTGTGCTCTTTTGCCGGGGACCTGACCACCTTGGCCCCCAAACATAGGCGAACTGACAGGAAATGCTGTTGGCGGCTGAGGTCGTTACCGTTGCTGCGGCGTCCCGGCCTTTTTGGTTTGCTCCAGAAGTACAAACACGTTGCCTTGGCTACCTGGTGGCACCTGAGAGGGCATCTGAGATCACGGGATGAGGGAGGGCAGGGCTGATTCTTCCGAGGTGGTAGCCCACCCGGACGACGAAGTTTCTTTCCAGCATCAGTTTAAGCCATGCACGCTTTGCACCAGTCACTTGTTTTTCTGACTTGATAGGTGGAGGGGCTGTCAAAATACACGCTAAAAGTGCATGCTCAGGCCATGTTCTTTTGGCCGGTGCTCTCGCAGCTTTGTGCTGCAGGCGGCCCGGCTGAATTGTTGCTTCGTGGATGGGGGCATGCGAGCTTCGAAAGCTTGACCTCGCTGATGCATGTGCAAGTTGACTACCTTCGCCTCTATACCGTACCCCAATGCAGGCTAAACATCATGAGCTCGCACACAAGGTATCAACATCAGCGTCCTGTGCCTATCCACCGGAAATTTCGACGGGCTCGGGAGCATCCGGCAAGAGGACCTCTTGCAGCAACCGAGAGTCTAATTCCCGGGCTGTGAATAGGGGTCACTGAGACGTGCTCGCCCATGGGTCGCGCAGCATGACCTGGAGCAAGACGCCCTGGCAAAGCCAAGGAAATGCGGCGATCCTGTGCACGAATAGGTGCCTGGGCGGAATGCTGCGAGAGCCGGAAAAAGCTCCGCTGTTCACAGTGTGACTTGTGTAAAGGACTTGGGCGTGGGATGTCTTGTGCAGGTGTGCGTGGTGAATCTTTGGAAGTCCTTGACCAAGCCGAGTTGCAGGTCCATTTGGGGTTACAGACCTTCTTGGAAGCAGGTGCCTTCATGGAACGGGGATAACTCGGCGCAAGCTCCCGCCAGCAGAGTAGAAGGGGAAAGCTTCAAACCTCTCCAAAGATTGCCGGAAGGGAGTGGCCCCCTTGCATGCCGTGTGAGTGATCACAGGATGGATGGCGCGAATGGCCTGCGGACATCGTTGCTGGCAAGGCCAATGTATGCTACTGGTAGCATGTTGGTTTCTCCGTCATCGTGACATATGCCAATGTGAGAAGGGACATGAAGGTCTGCAGTGTCTTTGCCTCGATGAGCTTGCAGCAGGTCATCGACTTCCTTGAGAAGCGTGGCGCAAGTGCTGTGCTCACTTTCGACAATGCCGGTGTGTCAGGCCCATGCTCTGTGAGGGTCACGTCGATGTAGCTATCTCAAGCCGCTAGAAGTGGTGCACCAGTGTCCCTTGTACCGTATGGAGGTCATCCAAACCACATCTCTACCAGCTCAGGCGCCGCCTTTTGGTTGACTTGACTCTGTGAGCGACTACCTACACCGGAATGTACGGAGGTGCGCAGCGCGCGCTAGAGCTTGTCCATGCAGATGCCAAACTACCTCAGTTCGAGTTGTTCCTGCTTAAGAGCGAGCCACTGCTGCATTTTATTTCGTGCTCTAGCAGCCTATATTGACAGCCGGATGGAGTCCGACGATCAGAGGTGGGGATCCACGAGAAGTACCTGGGTCCGCTTTGCTTGCTGCTGGGGCCAGAAGCTTAGTCAGACATGGCCTGTGCCATGTGCCACCTGCCGCCAGGCCACATCAGCTGAAACAACATGTGCAACTATGTACATGCTATCTCGGAAGCCCGTAAGCTTGTACAGCACCACGTTGTTTGCACCACGTCGGGCAAGCATCGTTTTTGGACAATCGGTGCATCGACTGAAGCAAGGCGGGAGTCTGTTGCCGATGCCGCCGCTCGGCGGCATTCATGTCGTTCACAGTCGACTCCACTCGTATGTCTGGGCTCTGGGTTTGTCGTCCCTGCTTGCAGCCTCTGGGATTCAGCTTGCAGGCAGCTGTTTCTTGCAGCGCACCAGCTTGTTTGGCGGCGTGGCTCTCAACTTCTCAACAGGCTTCCATGGTGTTTTGTCACACGTGTCGTCTCAGCAGTGCCTAGGCCTTGGCCGTGCACTGGTCACAGCTGGTTTGGTACAGAGTCCTCTTCACTTTGTTTTCGCATTACGCGTCCGGCTCCTGACAGGAATTTCAAGCTTTCTGTGCGTTCCCATGGTTGACAGAAAAATGTCCCTTAAGCTTCCAAATGTGCGATGCCGTTGTGCCCAGGTACGTGAACACCTTCTTCAGGTTCGTGCCAGGAAGCCCGGCGAAGGGATCGGAGCCTGAGCTCAATACGAGTAGATCAGTGTTGTTTGGAGTCGCTTCGATTCTCCACCGTGCTTTAAGACTTTAAGCTCTGACTCGTGCCTCAGCCAGACTGTTGAAGACACTATGTGCTGAGGATGCTGACTTGAAGTGTGCAAAGGAGGACTGAACCCTGCGTGGCTGAAGTTTCAGTTCCAGATTCCCGGACAAAGAGCCGGCGAGAGCTGCACTGGCGCCTTTAAGCTGCGGAGCAGGGCTTGGGAAAAAAGGGGGCGAAGCTCTCTGGTTTTCTTGCTTAGCGGCTTAGCCCAAGCAGGCCATGGGGTTTGGGGTTTCTGGATCCTGACCCCTCGACTAGACCGCTTTGATAAGGATGGAGAGACTTTGCTCTGGTGACAACCTGCGGCTCGGGGGCTCTGCACGGACATATGCCCGTCCGGCTCTGTTGCCTAGGTTTGGGGTTACTGCCAATCTTCGGGCTTCACGACTGATTATGACACTCAGTCTTGTTGTGATGGTAAATAATAGTAGTAGTAGTACAGCAAGCAATACTTTCGCTTTTAGTTTGTCATTGCTACTCCTAGTGCTAGTAGAGTTGTTGTTGCTGCTGCAGAACGTGGCAGGTCTACCGAGAACCGACCACAGCCGTGCCCCTGGATTGCTTGGACGCGTGGTGGCAAGCTTTCTCCATCGCAAGCAGGCCATCCAACTCAGCACCAAAGGCCTAACCCAGCTGCTGAATGCTGAACAGTGCCCTGTGGCATCTTGCGATCCCTGGAGGCGTCCGTCTGAAGACTCCCGGACTGTCCGAGCAGGCAGGGGGGTAGGGGCCGATGCGTTGCGATGCTTCGTTTCTGGTTTATGAGGAGCTTCCAGAACCTCCCCTGGACTCGCCTCGGCTGCTCCCAGGATCTTGCAAATCTTGTAGCAGCACTTCCGTGAAGCACATGTGTCGCTCCCCAGCTCGCAGGAAAGCCAAGCCCGCAGATCAGCATCAACTTGGGTACTGCGAAGCCGCAAGAATCAGCAGATGTTGTGGACGAGCCTGCCATGCAGGGGCCCATGGACACGTAGGAGCCTGCGATCTCAGAAAACCTGGGCCGTGCGAAGGTCTCCAGATGCAAAGATGTCTGCAGCGGCAGAGGATGATGCGAGGCTGGGGGCGAGACTCCGGCTGTCTGTTACTCGTTGCGAGTCGAAAGAGCCTTCAGGAAAGTGCCTCCGGGTAGCCCGGAAGATCAAGAGGCTGTGCTCGCAGCCCTGGAGTCCCTGGTTGCCACGACTGGCACAGAGACGAAGACGGGGAGGAGCCACGCCATGCCACGCCCGAAACCAGCCGCCAAGATACGAACGGCAGATTTCTGCGATCAGGCCGGCCGAAGCCCCCAAAGCGGCGCAGACAAAGGCTGCGAAGAAACGGTCCTCGTCATCGTCTTCTGAAGACAAGCGGAGCCTTGGTTAGTGGTACTTGTGCCATCACCCTTCTTATCGTGATCCTGCCCACTCGAATCGGCATCTCTGCTATCAAGAACAACAACGACAACACTTGCGGTGCTTGGCTAGACCGAGGCAAGCTTACTTGACAACTCCAAGCAGCACACATGCAGGCAGACCCTCTGCAACTGAAGTCTAAATTGATAAACTGTCAAGCCAGTACACCAAACCAGTAGCTTCGAAATATTGTGGAAATACAGGTAGATCAACGTGCACAGACTGACTCTGAACGAGAACCACGTGGTGCCATGCTGAAACGGCAACCTTTTCATGTGGTGAGAGTGAGGGCATGGTTGCATACTTGAGTACATGAACATACATGAACCACAAAGAGCCGTGAAGCAACAGAGCAACAGAATAGTACTAGTAGGAAAGCGCCATGACAGCATCAGGGTGCCAGAGACTGCTCCCCTGGCAGGATGGCGTAGTGCCGAAGACCCTCAGGCTTCACTTTCCAGGTGTAGCAGTATATATAGCAAGCAGAAGCAAGTTTTTCAATGCTGTATCAACGTATTCATATGGAAACGGGGGCAGTCGTTTTTTTTTCTTGCGCTCTCTGGCCGCTAACCAGCAGCAGACGAAGCCGAATCTGCGAGAGAGAGCGAGAGCCCGCCGCCTGAAGCCTTACTTCAAGCTGGTTCCGGTTTCAGCTCAGCCTCGGTTCAGAGTTTTCACTGGTACCAAGGAAGTCGAAATCGAAAAAGAGGAAGTCCTCCACTTCATCTTCCTCGAGCAGACGGCACCCCTCCATCTTTCGAGCTTCATTTTTTGGGATCCTAAAAACCATTTGCGGCTTACATTTCTCCAAACAGTGTATGCGGTAAGGCTGCAGGGCTATAGGGTTCTCACGTTAAGAGTTAGCGGATTTGGTTTGCTGTTCGCGCGAGGCGTCCGTGGCCGGTGCACTTGGTGGCCAGTAGTTTCTGCTGTGCCGGGGCGTGCATCTTCAAGTGTGCAAGTTCTTGGCCCAGCGTCGCTTGCTGACGACATTCGAAGTCGTGCTCTCGACACGGTGCTGGGCCTTCCCCCCCCCCCCCATCTTGCCCCTCCAAAATCGCGCTCCCGCACAGTCCCGCGTCTATTTCGGGTCGTCACCGCAAAGCGTGGTTGGCTGGCATAGTCGGGTCCTTGATTTTCTGAAACTTCCACATGGCAGGAAACGCAAGAGCTGATGCCTCGGTGGCAAATGCCCAGCTGCTCCGAAGTGTGTCCTTGCGGCCCTTGCGGTGCTGTTTCGCGTCTGAGGCAAGTCGAAAAAGCGCAGCTCTTCCTCGACCTCAGCCTCCAGGGAGAAAGCCAAGAGGCTCGCCAGCAGTTTCCTGAATGGGATGCATCGAAGCGATGGCAGGAAATCCAAAAAGAAGTCGTCTTCGTCCTCCTGAGAGCCTTGTATCTTGCGAGAGGTTTTAATCATGTAGAATGGCATTAGAGTATGACGGGGTTCCAGCTGGCTTCAGAATGGTAAAGCAGTAAAGCAGATACGGGTCGACAGAAGCTGGTTTTCCTTCGAGTCCTTCAAAAAGGAGGCTTGACTGTTTCCGCAGCTGCGGTCCATCAATGTGCTGCTCCGGTACAGCTGGCATGGGCGGTTACATTCTGCAGGTCCCTAGCCGCCTAGGATCGCCTGGCAGTGTGTCATAGACTTGTGGCTCAGCGAAAAACGAACTCGCTCGGGTTTGGGCTTCGTTTTCGCTGCGAAGCTTCCAGCGATAGGCACAGAAGACGGACGGTGCCTTTGTGTGGAGGCTCTCCACATGCCTTCCCCGGACGTCTGGAGCCTGGCTTGTCCGGTTGTGTGCAACAGCACTTCCCGGAGACTTTTCGAACAGCTAAGAGGGGTTTGTCGGCTCACCAATCCGGGAGCAATTCGCTTGCACGAGGGCTGTCCCAGACCAGTTCAAGTGATCCTACCCTACCTTGTCTACCTTCTCGTCGATGCGATTGCATGCGTGTGTGTGTGTGTGTGGGTGGGTGGGTGGGTGGGTGGGTGGGTGGGTGGGTGTGTGTGGGTGCGGGTGTGGGTGTGGGGGGTGGCACTCTGTGCGATGCACCTGTTGCACGTAGCAAGGGGGGTCGGATCTTGGCGTGGCTGTTCATGCTCAAGCGACTGAGTGTCTAGATCCAAGACGAGTCGATGCCGTTGTAAGACCAGCCGGCCGGTTTATGGGATTTGCTTTGCTGCAGTGTCCTGAAGCAAACCCGGCCAAAGCCCTCCAAACTCATCCAAACTCTACACCTAAACCATGCCTAAACCTTAAACGCACAAATCGAGAAGTGTGCCACAAGCCCCAGCTCCGCGAGATCCCGAAGATTCCGAAACCCCACATTGCCCGCCAGAAGCTGCAAGATGCCTGCTGGCACCAAGAACGCCTTCGCACTTCTCGGCAGTGCGGTGCTCAAGCCGAGAAGTCTGCTCTTGTGATACTGGGGAGCAGGGCAACGACTGAAGACTCCGGCTTTGAGGCCTTCATACTCGAAGAGCAGGAGTAGACGAAGAAGAGTATACTCGCAGAAAGAGATGTAGGGACAGATGATGGCAGATGCTTTGATGGGAAGCCGACTGGATGAACCATCAAGCAAACAAAAACATTTAGTCAAGCGAGATCATGTTGCAACGTTATTCCTTCAAGCCACATGCTGAGCGAAGCACAGTACCGAAGGTCGAGATAGGACCTGTATCATACTTTTGCATGGCATTATGCACCGGAGAAATGTAATCAAACAGTTACCATTCAAACACTAATGAGAATTTCCATGTTAGCAGAATTCGACATAGCCACCTGATGACAAGTCCTTTCCAGGGTCAGCGCTTTTGCAATGAGGCAGCAAGACCTATCCATTCTCAGCAGAAAGGGCGAAGAGCCACAAACCTTTGTACATGGGCGGAATAAGACTCTGGCACCGCAGCCTCCTACGGCAGCGACCGTTCTGTATGGCATATGTCAATACCGCAAACGTAACGCACAGCACGAATCTAACGATTATAAGCAGTTACATATTTTCCCACGCAGTAGAACGATGCAGTGGCAGTGGACCCAAACGATTGCACAAATGCAAACCTCGCTGCGCGTTGTCTTGCAGCTTGCGCAGAATGTATCACGGTATGGGTGGTGCCACACATCACGGAGAGTAGAAGAAGGCAGCGGCGATGTTCAGGGAGGCATATTCAGCCATGAGCTTCTCATGCCATTCTCTTGTGGGAAGAAGTTCATGTGCCCAAACTGAGACTCTGACTCCGAAGAGGCGCGGACAGCATGGCTCTGGGGCTGATAGGGTTTAGTATTTTGAACTCGCGTGGTGACTCCCGATTTGTAGGAGGAGAAGGAGCAGCAGCCAGAGGTTGAAGAGACCTACGAAGCAGCGCCTGCTGTGGAGTTTGAGCCGGACAGCGCCGGGGGATGTTTCTGGGAAGCATGCTCCTTTCTTGTTTGGCGTACTTCCAGCACTCCAGCATTGGACACGGCGTTTCATTGAATTGCCAGACGGACCCATCCATACTGCGTGCCATGGGGTTGCCAAAGTTGCCTCTTGCAGAGTTCTTTGAATCTTGCCTGAATGGGCTTGGTGTATCTTCGCTGGCTTCAGCTTGGAAGCAGGTTTCGACAAGTAAGTGTCGGTCCACAGCATGGCGACAAGCTCCGTCTAAGCCGGTGATCTGCAGGAGCCAAAGAAGAAAGGCAAAAAGAAGGGGAAGGCCGGAGAATCAGCTTTGCTTTGTGTCCTTTTGGTGTCTGAGTTCATCAAGTCGTTCAAACTGCGACTTGTCTGACGTCGCGGACCCTCGATGGGCCTCTGACTCTAGCTTGGGTTGCAGTCCCAAAGATCCAAAATCCTGCACTTCGGCTGGGTTGCGGCCAAGCCCGATATCACAACCAGCAACATTCCGCCCAAACTTAGTTTGGGACAGAATTCACCCCGTGCTGCTTAGAGTTCGGAGTCGCGGTACGAATCCCGGTGTCAGTGTTCCCAAGCGTATCTTCACTGCTTTCGTCCCCCCTGTTGAAGCTAGGCAGGGTCTCAGAAAACAGGGGACCGCACACCGAGACCCCGTGCGAGAGCGAGAGTCGACTTGTTACAAGGCGACGGCGTAGCGCAAAGAGCATCAAAGAGCTCAGGCTGAGGCAGCCCCGGCCCCTGCGGCCCCTGCGCCGGTGGAGGCCCCGGCCCCAGTGGCCCCTTGGCGGCAGCTGTGCTTCAGGCTCTGCGACGCTTTTCTCTTGAACCTGTCTCCCTGAGCTTGCTGTCAGATGTCATGCTCCTGAAAGGCTTCTCATAGCCGAAGAAGCTCATCTTTCCAATCTAGGTATCTTCAGAATTCGTGGGTCGAGCTCATTGAGCTGAAGGTTGCTGGGGATGCTGCTTCCGTCGGGGATGCAGGGTGCTCTGTCAGGGACCCGCTGCGTGCTGCGGTATCAGATTGTCGTGTGTAGTATGCTGCTCTATGCGGAGCACCAGATCTGTCTTACGGTTTGTTTTCAATCCATATCACTGAGTGGAATCTCGGTTTTCAGTAGTTCTGAAAAAGCTCCGAAATCATTGCGCGCTGTGCCCCAGCCTGGAGTTGCATCTGTCCTTTGTCACGCGCAGGATTGAAGAACTAGTCTTTTTGTGTTGGTTTTTGCTTTCTATCTTTGGCGTGACATGTAGGAGCTATCCAGCTGTAGAACTCAGGAAGGGCACGGCCCGCACGGCAGCTCTTTCGGGAAGATCTATGACGTAGTTGCTGTGTTGTTGGTGCTTCCATTAGCCACGAAGCTTTAAACCTAAGCCCTAAACCCTGAACCCTAGACCCTAAAGCCCTTTGCAGTGGCTGCTCCGCTCCCTTCATTCGATCTTGGCTAAGACCTCCAAGCCGTCCTCGAAAGCTGCAGCGCAGCCGGCGAAGAAGGCCGTGATCTGAGTAAGGTGGGTGAGCAGAACTCCTTCTTCTCCTTCTTCCTCTTACTATTACTGGATGTCGCATCACATGTCTGATCTCTTGGACGAGGGGCAGAGCCGCAAAGGGTGGAAAGCTTCCGAGGAACCTGAAAAGGTGGAGAAGAAGGAGAAAGGCGACAAGAAGGCGAAGCCGGCCGTTGCCGCGAGCCTTGCCGCGAAGTACGTTCAAGGTTCACTCTGTTATGGTAGTTGGCTCTGGGACGTTGAGATCAAGCCAGGGAGCAAGCGACTTTGATAGCCGAGGAAGAACAAATTTTCTGCGCTGATGGGCGACAGCGACGAGGAGAGCGACGATGAGTAGACTTGCCAGATTCCTTGCGCCTCGAATTGAACAGGTCAGCTTGCCGGTCTTGTGCTGTGCTTGCGATGCCTGCTAAGGGAAGCGAGGTTGCTGAGCATATGGATGAATCGAGATGAATCGAGGTGTCTCGACCAGCCGATGCTCCATGCTGCCATGTAGGGTTGCATTCGCTTGATGTCATGTGCTGCATGCTACCCCTCTGCGGAGGCTTCAGGGGCTTCGATAGCCCAGTCTTGTCACGCAGCTAACGCAGAAGGCACCGCTTGCCTCAAGCCAGACAGCTGTGAAGCAAGGCCATCGGAAAAAAAGAGTTCGGTCGGCAGCAGGCTGAAGGGCGGCGATGGACACTGTGCGTGCGGTGTAACGGCTCTTAATTAGGTGGCATGCACCTGTTGTCGTGATACCAGATGGGCCATTAAGCTCAAACTTGGCATCGGGCTCTCGCTTCATGCTTGTCGGAGCTTCCTCCTCCGAAGTCACCGGTTCTAGACCCCGGTGAGGAGAGCACCTTTGCCGTGGCCAAGGTCTGCCAAGATTAGCTGTTCTCTGTGCCTGAAGGAGGCCCACGTCCATGCCATATGAGATACCATTCAGCCAGCTTCCTGGACTAGGCAGGGGAAGCCTGGTCTTGCGCAGCTCAGCTCGGAGTCTCGAGTCAGAGTCTTCTGTCAGGCGAGGAGGACTACCCCGGATTTCCAGCACAGCTATGTCCGAATGAGTTACCGGACCTCTCCAAGCCAGCGGCTCAAAGATGGCTGAAGCCTTGTCCAGGCCGTAAATATGTTCTTTCCATGCGCTCGACCTGATTCCTAGGCACTGTAGCCTGTGCGCAGATGTCCTCAAGGCAGATTGCTTGTCCCACTGCTGAGAAATCGCTTAGTCCTGTGCACCGCGCAAGGACAACCCGGAGATGTATCAGGAGCTCAAAGACCGCCAAACATCTACAGGTGCAAGACCGAGATAGCGACGTGAGTCGCTACATCCGGTCCCGATGTTGTCCAGGTGTTTCCTTGGCGCGGTGTATTAAGACAGGCATGGGGCGTGTTGCTCTGGATGGTCACCATCACTCCACCTGCTGTCTGATCCCAACAATTTGCAGGCATAGATAATCGGGGACACCCGTGCCTGAAGTCCATCGGCGCGGTGGCTGGCGATGCAGAATGCTACCAAGTCTTTGCGTCCCTCGGCACCCACAATTAGCAACAATATCCTGTTGTAGTCCCTGCTACATCTATAGTATAGCATGCTAAATCATACTGCCACGCTACCACAACTCAATTCTAATTATGTAGGCTTCTATAGAAGCCAGGACTTGACATGATACTTCCAAGGCCCCTCTTCGAGAAGCTGATCCAAGGCCGGCACGGGAAGGCCACGCTGGGGCCCAGGGCGGGCGTGGTGATTCTGTTATATCAAATTATACTACTGGGTTACATTGGTTTATGTGATGCTATACTATATCATGCTATAAAAAATTATGTTTTTTTATATTATATGATATTATATTGTTATATGATACGATATATTATGTTACATGATGTTATCTTGTATTATACGATACGATACTATACTATGCTATGCTATGCTATGCTATGCTATGCTATGCTATGCTATACTGTACTTTGTATACTATATTGCTATTCTATACTATACTATACCATGTTTTACTGTAACAGCATAATTTAATACAATATAGCATATAATATGGCATTAAATTAGAAAATGTGTGTATATACATATAATACAGTATATTACAACATAATGCAACGTAATACAATATAATACATAACATAATACAACACAGTACAATAGAGCACAATACAAATAACACACAACAGCATGTAATACGATATAATATAGTAAAGTATAACATGGTATATTATAGTACGTTGTAGTGTATTCTAGTATATTCCTGTATGTTGTAATCTGTTACGGCATGTCATGGTTTTTTGCAACATCAGAGTATATCATAGAACATATACTTACGTATATTATACTAGCGCAGGACGAAAGTTCGCCACACATCCTCGAAGTCAACACATGAGACACTAGAAGCCCCTTTCCCGTTAGACTCCTCACACAGATCTCGCAAGCTCTCCGCCGAGGACATTATGGTAGTATAATTCTATATTCGAAGTCAACACAGACACTAGAACCCCTTTCCCCCTCAGACTCCTCACACAGATCCCACAAGCTCTCCACCGAGAACAGTATAGTAGTATACTTTTATTCCGGGAAATTAACTGCTCCGGCACGCTGGCCACGCGAAACGGACCTGCGGCTACTCCGCTTCTCCACGGCATCTGTTCATGTAGATTCACAATGTCCTCCGTATCTCGAAACATTTTTCCCAGTGATGTACTATCGTCTGTGATGTCTCCGTCGAGTTTCGGGCAGGTGCCGGAGGCTCACATGAAATGCCATGGCCGCCGGACCCTCACTGCTGAATCGGCAGAGCCGTTGGAGGGCTATGCCGCTTGCCTGCAGACTCGTTGCAAAGCCAGCCGGTACGTTTGGGGAATTGTGAAGTCAATGAAGAGAAATAAAGTGTACTGTACTCTGCGCAGGTGATCTCTTGCAAAGTTGCGGCTTCCAGGCAGATGCTCGTGTTGGCAGGGTGCAAGAGAGTGTCTGGGCAAAGCCTGAGCCCAAGGAACCTGGATGGGACTCCTTTCCCACCGGCTGCTTCAAGAGATCAGCGCCAAGAGGCGGGCCGGGCGAGGTCGCGACTCCAGATGGGCTGCGGCTTCCCCAGTCCTCAGGTCGAGCACATGATCTCAGGAGCTGCTCTTCAAATGGAAGGCCTTACCATGAGGAATGCCTGCGAGAGGGCACAGGACTTTCTAGAATTTGCTTCGGCCCCGATGCCTCCACAGGCGCGCTGAAGGGCACCTACTTCCCTCTCGTGGGCTCCTCGTCCTATCCTTCGAAGCCGGACGGTATGACATTGGAGGAGGAAAAGGCCCCCGGCTGCTTCAGTGTTCTGCTCCTCGATTCCAGTTCCAGCCGCACTTTGCAGATGCTGACTGACGACCATCTTCTCTTTCAGCATCCAGATGCCCCCGCAGTGCTGAGCACTGGATCTGGGCGGCATTGGCCACACGGTCGAGGCAATTGGGTGCTGAAGCTGTTCGCTTGTTCGGATGTTGTCATGATGCATCACGAGCACAGATGCCAGGCGTCTTCGTCAATGAACGCAAGACCTTGACTTTGTGGATCAACGAAGAGGACGGTTTCCAGTCAGTCTGGCTACGGGGCCACATGCGACTTAGCCACGTAGTCTTTGCTTGTCGCTCCACCTGCCTGTCCATGTCTTGGTTCTTTGCAGGAGCACCTCAAAGCAACTTCTCAGAGACAGGGTGGTGATGCCCGATGCTCAGGACGAAATGTCCGCTTGTCGCGAGATGCCGCCGAAGTGGCAGGGTTTTTTACATCCGATCTGTCAATCAGGTCCAAGCAGCTTTTAGGGAGCTTTCGGCCGTCGCTCGACTCAGCTTCAAAAGTGGGATTTATGGTTTAGGGTGTAGCTACCATCTTGCCACTGAGGTACTGGCACACATTTCTGGCAGCCTAGCCGACCGGGCCGGTTTTGCAAAGAGCGATCGCCTGGGCTCGGGCCCTTGCAAGGTCCTTTTCTTGTCACTATGCATGCTACTGCTCCGGGAAAGTCAAGTGCAGCACTTCCCTGCACGAGAGCTGTAGTGCTGTGTGCTTTGACCTGCTTCGGGCGAAGACGGGCCGTTTGAAGCTTCAAAGCATTCAAGGGACATGGGAAGCGCAATGCAATCTACATCTTCTAAACGACCAGACGTGTGCAGAGGGTAACGAAATTGGCTGAGCTGCAGGCTACCTGACATCGAACCCCGCGAACATTGGCACAGCACTCCGGGCAGAGAGCTCAGCGTATTCCTTGTACCATTTGGCATTCTCTTGTCCGGGCTCGGTGGGTGGGCTTGGAGTTGGGAGAGAATTTAGAGAATCATGACTGGAGTGTAAGAGAAGCCCTGTGTATGGACTTTCATGCTGGCTGAGAGGTCGTTCGGCCAAGGTTGACGGACTTCAAGCTTCCTTGTCTAGCTAGTTACAGCTAGTCTTACGGGTTTAGTTGGCCTAAACTCGGCACAGATGAGATGATGGGCTGGTGGAGGGATGAAGCTCAGACGTATGTGAGTGGCTGTTGGCTTGTGAGCTTTGACCAGTTGGGGAGTTTTTGTCTCTGAATGGTGGGGCCGAGCGTGAGCGACGAAATGGTTCTAAGCCGTGCCATCAAAGGAAACCGGAAGAGACAGCAACATTTCAAGAACAACGTCGTTCACAACAGCAAGGAAAGCACTGACAAAACGATTGGCAAGGCGCTCCTCTGGTACAACGATGTTCCTTGTCATTGGCTTGTCGATGTTGTGGCTCGAGACCGATAAAGTGAACGACTGACCTCCACCGGTATTAACGTTGCTTCAAAAATTGAGCTGCAGCTGATACGAGACGTATTATGTATGTCTGACCATGGAGCAGAGGAGCATGAACCAAGACATTCATTTGGCACGCTGCTGAACACCGACAGCACTTAGAGCAATGCAGCCAGCATGCCATAGAAGTGGCGTGTAGAAGTGGCAGTCTGCCATCAATTGGGGCAGTACTTGCTTTAGCTTGGCTTTGATGGCGCCAAAATCAAGTCGCAAGGGCAAGGGGTCGCAGAAGCTGCCTTTTAACGATGATGCGATTCAGTGCCATGCCTGCAACATAAGTCTGCCAAGTTTTCTGCAACTCTGCAACCTCACTTAGTGCTTTGCGCTTGGACTCCTGGCTCTTGAAACCGAAGGAAGCATTTGGAGGTCAAAAGCCAAAGCCAGGACATGATGCGGGCATCGCTGGCATATGCAATCATATGCACATGAAACTCTGAGATGGTCTGTCCCGAGTCTAAGCATAAAAAAGGGCGGCACGGAGCCCTGCAAGGAGGACCTTGCTGAGGCGGAAAGTGAAATGGACAGGCCAACTTCCGAATGTGACGACCAGGACAGCTGATGTTGCATCTCATGAACCGTTTACTCCAAAGCTTCATGTCAGGTTGGAATGCTCTGTCAGGATATTCCCGAGGGATTTTCGTCAACAGACGGTTTGCATGAAGAGATTAGGGGCGCCGCAGCTTGGACGGATATGGCTTGCTGCTCCTCGCCAATCTTTCGGATGCTTAGTCCTGTGGTTCTCCGACTCTTTGCTGAAGGCACCTGCCAGTGGCGACCTTGGCCGAAGGACCCGAGCAAGCAGTGGTCAGGTTGAATGAATGGTGAAGCTGGGAGCGCCGTCAGCATGCATGTTCGCGGAGGATCCAAGGGGCTGCAGCTACCATAGGTGGCGCAACAGGTCTGCTGGATGGGTTGCGGTACCCTATATTTGGCTTAACTTCCATGGTTCTATGCGGTCCGAATGGTTTGGGTGCATGGAAACCCTGATGAAGGAACCCGATGCTCTTGCTGTCAACCTTGCGATTACTATTTCCGTTGCTATGATTGCCTTACTAACCCTAACTGGTGTGCAGGTATGCTTTTGGGTGGCCCCGTGTCGGGCGCACTTCTTGGAGCAGCTGCTTTGTATGCATCCACACGAGAGGAGACCCGGCTAAACATTATGGAAAACATATATGTATGTATATATATATATATGTATATACGTATGTATGTATGTATGTATGTATGTGGGTAGGTAGGTAGGTAGGTAGGTAGGTAGGTAGGTAGGTATGTATCTATGTATGTATGTATGTATGTATGTATGTATACTTTTATGTATATACATATATATATATATGTATATATACACATACATATACATATACATATACATATACATACACGTATACATGTACATATACATACACATATACATATACATATACATACACATATACATGTACATATACATTTACATATACATATACATGTACATGTGTATATATATATACACATGGGGAGACTTGGCTAAATACTATATATGTAATAAAGTGCTTGATCTATAAGATACACTATAACAGATAACACTGAGTATGTACTAGAATAGAGTAGGCTCAGCTTTACTCCGTGCTGTTCGAGACCAGATGTCGGATAACGTTTGTAGGCCCGTAATGTTTCGGGATTTGAGCCCAGAGTTTGCAAAGTCTTTCGGGGCAATCTTACTGCCACTACTACTGCACTACTAACCACCAAAAGGGAACGATAACTACTACTACTACTACTCCTCCTCCTGCTGCTGCTGCTACTACTACTACGACGACGACGACTACTACTACTACTACTGTTACTACTGCTACCACTATTACTACGGGTGAGTCCGAGTCCAGGGTTTCCTGGGCTTGAAGTTGCCGAGGACATGCCTGGCTCTGTGGCGAGGAAGGCGGGCTCTCTCTACTTGAAGGCCGCCGGGCAGCGTCCGCTCCAAGTTCCGCTGGCGATAGTAGTGATGTCATCATGGTGATGGTTAGGGAGAAGACTAGCCGCAGCAGCGACTCACGCCTCGAGCTTGTGGCAGAGTTCAGGTTGCGGATCGAGCCTGCGATGAAGGGGTGCGTGTAATGGACCGGGGTGTTGAAAAGGCAGGTGCCGCCCTTGATCGAGGCGGGAGATCGGAATGCCCCGTGTGTCAGGCAGAGCCCGCATGCGAATCTCGCTGCCAGTCGTGGGATGGCTCCGGGTGATGTGATTTCGTGCTGTGTGCAGGTTGTAAGAGGCTGTCTCAATCCTCGTCGGTTCCAGCTCCCATTCGTGCCGGCTTGCAGCAAATGGCGGGCGACAAACGAGAAGCACCCAGTCGCCTGCTTCGATAAAGCTTAGTGGATTCTGAGTCTCTGTTCCGATACTTCGGTCGCTCTCATGTGTCAAGCAAGGTGTGGCACCAGATGAAGCCCGAAAAATCTTGGAGAAGCATCCCGAGACTAGATTGCATCACTGGTTGTTTGCATGTAGACAGAACACTTCGGACCCGATGTCAAAGAGCCAAGGATCGAATCCCGATTATTTGCTACTAAGCTTGACTTTGCAGCTGTTTCATACAATCATTCCGAAATCTCTTTGCCTCTGAAGGCTCACTGTGGGATCTGCCTGTCTTGTTTGGCAGCAAGTGCTGGCCATCTGAGGTGAACGATCTGCCTTTTCTACCTTGCCGCAAATTTCAAAGCTCCTAAGCGCATTTATTGCACTTGCCGGCACCGGTCCGTTTAGGCTGCCTGCAATACCGCCTCATTGCGCACATGCAGGAGCAAGTTCGCTGTACCTGGTGGGATGCGTGCTGGCGAATTCAAGTACTTGGTAGCGAGGCGGCATTACAGAGTTGAGATGCGCAACTCGCTATAGTGTTGTACTCTGCCCATGCTCAGGTTCAGAAAGAGATCAAAAGAGCAGTGCCTGAAGAAGCTGCAGGTCATCTTGCTGATGCAGAGGCTGGACAGAACACCACCGAGTGAGCAGCTGTCCCACAGGGCCGCAGCCGGAACAAACAATCTATATCTTCATCAACGGAGTGACCCCGCACCTTGAGCTTTCAGTTCTGGACATGGCGAGATGCGGCGTCTTTGCTTCCGTACCTTGGCCTTGATTGCCTTGGGACCGAGGCGATGTAGCACGTCCATGGCCGAACTGCCTCTGCGGCTGCACAGAGATGCGCTGAAGCAGAGGCCGGTTCCGGGCTCAGGGTTCGTGGTTGCGAGTTTCAGGTATGAGCAACATCGTCGAGAAGATGGTTTCCTCTGCGTCAAATATTGCGCCGAGCAAACATTAGGCCTGGCATAAAGGTGGTCTTGGCCCGGCGCATGTACAGATTTTCGTGGGATATCGGACGAGCAAAGGATTTCTGGGAATCTGTGGATCCCCAAGAGATGTTCCAAGGCCCTGTTTGCGGCGGTTGTACAGGCGGGAGAGAAGCTGGAGTTTTCCGTTTAATTCGTGTTGCAAAGTTGTGGCGGCACTGCCCAGCGAGCGGTGTCTGCGTGGGCGCTAGCATTTGAAGCGAGGTGCCAGAGCCATGGCAAACTAGTGACCAGATGCAGTCGGCCTTTTTCACAAAGCCATTGCCTGGTAAGCTTAATTTAGGGGTCCAGATACGTGGTAATGTTTTCCTTTGCAACCTCCATGCTTGTTCCATACGAAATCCCCAAGCCCTATAGCAATATTGAAGTCCTTACGTCAAGCCCCTGTAGAACCCCGATAGGGATCCTTTTTAGAAACCATATGTAGAAGCCCAAGAGTAACCCTATCCTTGTAGTACACTCATCGCCTCATCGCACCCTTAACGCAACCTCTGCTCTTCGGTGTGTTGTTTTCATGATCATTATTACTACTAAAGTTACTTTGATGGTTACAATAATGAATACATGAATATTATTAGTGTAAAAAATATATATATATATATATCTGTGTGATTGCAGCACTGGACTCTCACATCTCCTCGTATTTGCGTGCCCGAATTTCCCAACTGATCCATTTTTTGCAACTGCGCTTTCTGTGTTGCAAGGCCTTCTTGCAAGAATGCAAGGGCCTGGGCAGGAAACACGGTGCACCAGCTGAGGGAAGGGCTGAGAATGGCTGAACTGAAAAGACCTTTCCGCTTCGTTGCAGCGTAACCTCTGACTGGGCATATGAGCTGTGATGCAGTGGCCATAGTAGACAGTTCTGAGCCACCAGGTAAGTGTAATTGTGAAGCTGCCCCTCCTCAAGCAGAAGAAGGCCTGCTGCCTTGGCCCAGGGCTGCACGGCCGTGCATGGATGCTACTGGTTTTGACAGTTCAGGAGGAACTCCTCCAGTGGTGCTCGGCCCGTCGACTGGTCGGGAAGGGTGCCATCAGCGAGCCTCTCGCCTCGCATCGCCCAGACGTGGCAAGAACTGACTAGGGTTTATAGGGTTTAGGGTTTAGGCTGATCCCTGAGCTTTGAGCCATCCCCTTTTGGAAAGCGTAAAACAGCCATCAAAGGCAACTCCTGAGTGTAAGGTCTGGCGACCGCATGCCAGATTTGGTCGAGGCAGGCTTCTGCAGGATGAGACGAGTTATGCAAGATACCCTCGACTGCACGGCTGCCAGCTCGAACGAGGTCTCGAGCCGGGATCGTATTGACATCACTGAAGAGGACCGGTGTACGTGCTGTATGCTTCTTACCCGAAAGCCTAGCTACTAGATGCAGATAGGGTGTGCGTGGGTTGGTCCCGTGCTCCAAGAATGTCGGATCCACTGGCTTCGGTGAGCATCCCGACCAGTCTAGGAACATCCGACTGTCAGGTCTGCAAGGTATCGCGGTATTTCCAGCATTCGGCATGATCCGGGCCAATCATCCATTCCGGACGTAGGGCCCTAGAATTCAGGCACAACGGTTCCTGGTGCAACTATGGAAATCCCAGTTCCGACCACGTGCTTGGAGGTACTTTTGTTCTCGTTTTGTCGAGCGGGGCCCCTCGGTGTCTACGATGCTACGATTCACAGCGTAGGAAGCGTGCATGCTTCTTCAGCTCTTCTACACATACAATATTCTATTCTTGCCATTTTTATCGTTATATGTTGGTAAAGTACTTTTTCATTTCAATTTTGTTCACTGTTACACATTCTTATGGTTATCATTAGCTGCAGGAGACGGTGAACATGCTGGTGGAGGGCGTCGCGCAGCTCGTCAGGGCGGAGCGCCTTATGGAGCTGGGCACCAGTGCAGCCGAGGCAGAGAAAGCATCGATCTCCGTACCGGTTTCTACACCTATGCAGGGATTAACTATTCTATAAATTCCATACATGCATATCTACATGCACACACACACACATATATATATACATATATATATATACATATATATATATATATTCATGTGTACACACCTGCCTGGCTATCTATCTATCCATCTTTCTGTCTGTCTGTCTGTCTATCATCTATCCATTTATTTATCTACCTATCCGTCCATCCATCCATCTATCTATCTACCTATCTGTTCTTCTTTATCTACAGGAACAGATATGGATATAGATCTAGATAGGGACTATACTGACTGTACTAATAGGGATACTATTACTAATTATAGTATATGCACGATGGCACCAGGTATATGGTTGCCGGAATCATCGTTAAATGCCAAACTCGAGAGCGAAGCAGATCTGCAAGATCATGCTCTTGTTCTAGCCACTTTGGAAGCTTGATTTTTTTTTGTGCTGTTCTTGTTGATCTTGCCTGGCCTGTCCGAGTTGCGAGAGCGTAAAACCTAAACTCTACTGGCTGTGCGACACTCACTGGCCAGGCTCTGGCACAGCCGCCTTCGTTGGCAGAGTCGACGGCTGCATCTGGGGCTCGCGCAGCAGGAGCTGAAGTTATTGCTATTGTCCTTCTGGTTATAGTTCTTATTCTTCTTATTTTTATGTTATCGTTATCATTTCTTGCATAGTTATCATTGCCATGACGTTTCTCATTATCAACATTGTTTTACTGTTACGGTTGCCATTTATCACTATCATTACCATTGTTATGAACCGTATTGTCATTCGTCTGACTTGCACAGACGTTGACATCTTTTTTGCTATTACTGACTGTTATTGTTAGAGCATGTTAGAGCAATGTCAACCATGTCACTCTTATTGATATTGTCATATTTGTCATTACTTCTTATTGTCGTGTTAATCACCCAGTGTCATCACCATACATCATCATCATCATGAGGATCCACGCCTGCAAAAGCAGCCCTTCAGTTTCGGACCACGAGGAGACTTGACGCCTATCGACGTGCCAGATGTGGGATCCGGATCCTGGGACGCAGCAGGCACGATGAATACCATTCCGTTGGGGTCCTTTCTTGTGCTGTAGCTATACTATAATCAGTTTGTCTGGCCTTATATCCCCTTATAGGATCTTATAGGATGACCAGTCGCTATATGAGTATAGTATGTATGATATACCCCGAAACCCTATGCGTTATCAGGGCCCCTTTCCATTCTGGCACTCGCGGCCAGGCAGCACCCTGCAAGACATGATCTCCAATGCCGCGGCTAGCTGGCAGTGAGAGCTGGGTTTTGTTAGTTGTAGTATCCATATATTCATACATATATATATATACACGCAGAGTTATGTATACATGTATATATATATATACGCAGAGTTATGTATACATATATATATATATAATACACACACACACATATAGAGAGAGAGAGAGAGAGTATCGCGGGGTTTGATAGAGCTTAGGTCTTTCTGACGGTGTCGCTGCAGGTCGTTACGTCTTGCACCGCTTTGGGAGATGCCGCGAGCTGATGACAATGTCTGCTAGTTCATTCCTCCCTTGAAAAGCCATTCCTATAGTGGTCTTTCACTGCCGAGGGCACAAACGAAGCTGCAGGTCTGACGCTCAGAGATTCTGTCTTGCTCCTTTGCTCTCGCCGTCTGCCTCTCTCTCTCTCTCTCTCTCTCTCTCTCTCTCTCTCTCTTCGTCTCTCTGGCTCTGGTTTCTCTCCCCTCTCTCTGCATCTTTGCGCGGCAGGATTCAGGATGTAAGTGCAGTCATTACTGTACATGTGTCCGTACAAACACGTATGCAAGCAGATGATTTGTCCACCTTTGACTGGCACAATTTTCTAGATCTCCATAGATCTCCATGTAGCAAGTTTGCCCTCTATATCATCATTAGTAGTACTTGCCCTGCCCTAGTAGTAACGTTAATCTTACTAGTGTTGTCCTTGTGACTAGTACTAATAAGAAGCTTATCAGGACTAGAACGAAGCACCGCAAAACTGGAGCACTGTTATCCAAAGAGCTGAGCTATCGATGTCGTGCCGTCGTGCAGCATTGCCCCGGGTTTCATTGCCTTCGCCAACCTCTCAAAAACTGTAGTTGGAGGCTGTGCCCTCACCAGAGCCTGCCGAAATTCAACAGAAATTGTCTTGTTAAGAGTCAGTTCTTTGTAAATTAGTACTGGTGGTTGTTCTGACTTATATATTTGGTAGTACTCGTCTTATCACGATTACTAACATTGTTTGTTAACTGTTATTGTTACTGCCATTATTGACTTCGCTACGTTCAGCAAATGGCTGGCAAAGGCAGCGCTCCAGATGCCGAGAGGCCGGGGACCCCTTTTGCCTGCTCCAACAGTACTATAAAGAAGTTATATATATATATATTATTCTAGTATTGAAATAATAAACTACCACTACTACTACTACTACTACTACTACTAGTTTATTCGGCTGCCCTGCCTCAAGACACCCTGCAATGCAAGTTGAGCATGCAGCATTGCGCTCCAAGTCCAAAGAGCCCAAAACCGAGTAATTGCACGAAGAGACCCGAAAGCAGATTAAGAACGCCGATGCCCTACGCCGTTTGCAGTCTCATGCTTCATTCAGAGTTTTGGGCTCTATGGATGTCTTCCAGTGTCTTTCGCTGTCTCACAAGGGAGTTGTTCGTCGGACACAGCATCCTGCGTACTGTCGAAGGCATGTTGCTCCAGAGCCATGGGACAAGAAGTTGCAGAAAGGGCTGGGGAGCCACCAAGCGAAGCTTCTTGCCAGGGACTGGCTGGAATTGAGGCAGCGCCTTGCTGGCAGCATCATCGCCGCTTGGCCGAAGCTGTAGCTTGATGCATCGGGTAGCTCGAATCCGAATGGCGAGTTGTTGCGAGATCCCAAGGTGGCTGCCCACTCAGGTCAGCTAGAGCAGGCGGGATTCAAAAACCTCCGTCGCTATCAAATACTTTTAACGTTCCTTCCATCCGACTCTTTGGCATTTGGGAAGGCGGCCAAGGTGCTTTCGGAGGATGCAGCAGCCAAGAGGATCCAGGCCGGCAGTTTATGTAATGTTATTTAGTATATTAGAGTTGCTTCTGGTTTGTTTAGAATGGGATCTGTGCCTTGCCTGCAGTGGCCATCAGAACCTTAATCCGGATATCAGGATCTCTTTGGCGTGTTCGGGTTTTGAGGTGTGCCAGGACATTAATATCGAAACAGTGCCACTGAAAACTCCCCTGGAGTTTTTAATCTTTGTTTGTTTTTCTTGATGCTTATTTTCGTG